GTGACCTGAGGTGTGAACGGGATGCGGTGGTCGAACTTGCTGTTTGACACTATAATACTATTTTTAAATTTCATATACCAGTATATAACCTTTACTTTACCTTTCACAGAACTTACCTGTAACCCCATTTCACTGCACACACAGGTCTCATAGAAACATGAATACATACAAATCAGTGAAGAAGGGACACAGTTTTATATACAGTAAGATTGTACAAGGACTCTTAAACAGCCCATCCATTATCCAATAATATATCATTATTAATTATGTAATAATTCTGCATAATGAGTTTACTTTTGATACACTATTACTATTGCTACTTTTACTAAGTAAGTAAAAACACTAAGTACTTTTTCCACCACTGCTACGGCTGATCACTTCAGGACTTTCACATTCTCTGTAGGGATGAGGGAGTGTTCACATAGCTAAAGATCCTAAAATACAAATAAGAGAATAACCTCCAAATACAGTCCAAAACTCTACCATTTGTGAATTTGGGTAAAAGGTAAAAGAAGTTAAATCTCTCAGAGTGATGAGACGTCAACCTGTCAAACTGAAGCTTCATCGCTAGAGGTCAGTGAAACATCAGAGACACTGAATCAGGACCAGGAACTGACATTTTACCATCTATTACTGATTTTTTATAGCCAGCATTTGCAAAATTTTTCACTTTGTCACTCACATTCAGGGACACCCGAGGTCAGTCAGAGTCGGGGGTGCTGAGAGAAAGTCAGTCTATATAATGACGTCACACTAAATGCTAAATGTGTGACATGCGTGGCTTTTGTATGGATAATTTATAGCCTATTTAATAGTCATTAAAAACACTTTAATGAACACAAAACATTTTTTTTTGAAATGATAAAAAACAAGGTAAAATCTCTTTCCTGCAAGTTTGAACATTTTAATTAATTTTAAAATAATATGTAAAAATAATATGTTTTTGTCTGGAAAATACTGGAACATCCAGTAAAACTGAATCTTTCAAATGGTCATTGACGCTTAAAGGGAATTAATTGATTAATCGTGCAACAATCGTGTAATCTTCTTACAGGGAAGTCGTTCTTCATCCCTTCTCAAGACACGAACTGGCCTAATTCCTTCCTCTAAGAATAAAACTTCTGAAGAAAAGTGTGTGAAAGAGAGAGAGACATAGAAACAGTGTGGCCCTCATCACTGTCAGAAAAAAACTTTTGTATCATACAATTATGGCTTAAAACCCTCAACCCAAACCAAATTTAAAATCGATTTGCAAACATGTGTATGCTACATATTGTCCATGTATTAAGTTACATTCTGCGTTGTTGTTGTTGCACCACCGCTACATTTTGTCTTCCCTTTTTCTCCAATAAAAGAGAGATAAAATGATGAAAGAAGATGTACAAGATGGACTCAAATTCTCTGTTATTTAGCATACAGATGTTGTTTTTTCTCTTCACACAGCTACTGAATTCAAACCGACCAATCACAGCGAGGTACATGCAAATCAGAGCCCACACGCCCCGCCCACACACGTCAAACAACCAATGGTTGTCGAGGTGGGCGGGGCGTGGAGGATAACAGCGGAGGATTCAAACCGAACATGGCTGCGGGTAAAGATGTCGACGAAAACACACAAAACAGAAGGTAACTTACCGACGAATTGAGACTGACATTGACATTATTTTTCAATACTGTTTACGTCGACGCGTTGCTAGCATTTTTTAAAGTTTTTATTTCGAAAATAAGTTGCAACTTTACTTGGAATTACTTCGCATGCAGCGTTAGCACTGTTAGCTGTGGAGTTCTGTGTGATTGTGCAAACTACACATTAAACTAGGTAGGTTAAATTAAATTACTACTAAAAAGTTGTCTTTAGCTAACATTGGGTTGGTGTCTACTGCTCCTCTTCTTCACCTGCAAACCTTTTGTGTGTGTGTGAACAATATCAGTAGCCATGCAACACACCCTGCCTTTGATAAGGTTAGATAGACTTTATTGATCCACACTGGGGAGTTATATGAACATTATATACAGCTTTTTATAGACATCAGCAGCAGGTAGTAGCATGGTGTAAAAACAAATACTCACACAGGACAATATTATGTACAGCAGTATAGTTTAGAGAAATATAGGCATGAATATACAGTACATGTCTGATTTAAGAAATGATATTACTTATTAAATAGTGCAGAAAGATGTTTGTTTAGCTCATAATGTTGAAGCTTTGTTGAAATGGCGAGAGACGTAGAGGCAACTGGTAAATGTGAGGTTGTATATGGTATTGGTGTTGTCAGTTAGCTGCATAGACAGGGGGTGAAGATGGGGTTAAGCCTATATACTGTCAGTGGGTTGAACTCTGTTTACAGCAGCTTCCATACAAACGTGCAAAATGCTTCACATAAACTGAAACACATGAAAACAACAATTAATAACAATAAATACACATTTGCACGGCTCAATATAAATACAGTAGAAACAATAAAATGTAAAAGTAGAAAATAAACAATCAGGGAGACAGATAATGAGAAAGACCAGTTATTAAAACTTAAAAACTATAGACAATAAGACTATAACTTTAGTGCAAAGTAAAAGCCAGATTAAGAAGATGAGGTTTTTAATTTCCTTTTTTAAAAATACTTTGAGAGCTCGCTCTAATATCCAGAGGAGGCGAGTTACACATTATCTTCAGTAGAGGAGTACTGCAGCCTGTTGTACAGTATAATGTAAATATGTGATCAGTTTCACTTTTACAAAGAAAAGGAAATAAGTATACCTCAGGAAGTAGAAGAAAATATAAGAGAAATGTCTGAGAAATGAAGCTTTCTTTTTCAATCGTTTGTCTTCAGTCTCATTCAGCGTTATATCAGCTTTGGCTGTTACACTGTCAATGTGTACATTCAATTTGTCCATCGCCTTATTATTGCATTAGGACATTATATGTATATCTTGTGTAGGCACATTTTAATTGGTAGTCGTGTTGCTTTTTAGTGCACATGTATACAACAAAGATCCCTAATTCCAGGTCCACTAGTTGTTGAAGCACATACAAATTACAATTCTACAGCAGTTGCCAGCTTTTAAGACTTAGACTGTGGTTTGTGCCTAATCATAACCCGTCTCTATCTCCCATATTGTCTCCCCCTCAGAGGTACAGTGTGCAGTATGGTGATCAATCATGAGGAATCACCGGGGGGCTCTCGTGCTGGCCGACCACCAGTCATCTTCAACCCGGACTTTTTTGTGGAGAAACTCCGCCATGAGAGCCCTGATGTTTTTCTGGAGCTGGTGCTTAGTAACATCACTCGCCTTATTGATCTTCCTGGGACCGAGTTTGCACAGCTCCTTGGTGAGGAGGGCCCTAAGACCCCAACGGGTGGAAATGGAGGCTTCTTTCGCTCTTTCAACTTCCTCAAACGCAAAGGTTAGAAGTCCTGTATACATCGATATTCACAGCATTTGTAAGGCCGGAGTCTGTCATGTCTTTCCTGTCCGTCATTCAGGATTTAGACAGCGCACCAGATGTCTGTGTTGTTCTGCTCGTTGTGACGAGACCGCCCTGTTGTAAAGCAAATGTCGCAGAAATGGAAGAGACATTTTTGTACCGCTCACTCTCAGCTCTCCTGATACTTTTACAGATAAAGGCGTTGTGTTTGGAACCCCGCTGACAGAGAGCTGCATTGCCCAGATCTACCAGCTCATTGAGTACCTCACCAAAAGTGAGTCATTTAAATAAAACACAGATTCCTTAATCACAGTTGGCTTTTATCACTGTGGCTTTGAGAAGCCATTAGCAGTAACTGCTTGCTGGAAAAACAACAACAATAAAAATCACATAATACACTCATGATTGATTTTAAACAATGAACAACCTTCATCCACTACCGGTGTAGTATAAGTGTGTGTGTGTGTGCTTTTTGTTTCTCCTCTGATATGAAATCCTGTTTGATGGAATGTTTTCTTTGTCCTAATTAGCTAAGATTATAAGTGAGCATAATGAAAAAATGGTAAAACATGTTTTTACTTTCGGGTATCCACCTGCTCTCACGCACTCAGATCTGCACGTGGAGGGTCTGTTTCGGGTGCCGGGGAACAGTGTTCGGCAGCAGACCCTGAAGGAGCTCCTTAACAGCGGGGCCGATGTGGACCTGGAGTCCGGAGACTTTCACCCCAACGACGTGGCCACGTTGCTCAAGACTTTCTTGGGAGAGCTGCCCGAGCCTCTGCTCACACACAGACACTTCCACGCCCACCTTAAGATAGCTGGTATGAAAACGCACACAAACACATTCTGTTGTAATTCATGTTCTCATTTTAGAGCTAACACTGGATGATACAAACATTTTCTAACACTTGAGTATTTTGTCATGCTTTAGCCAAACTTTTACAGAAGCAGCAATGTTTGCTAAACATTTTAGTCTAAAATGTTACATATTTTTAAAAGCAGGACCCCTGAAATTTATCAGCCAAGATGTCAAAATGTAGATGATTCCACCTTTTAAAAGCCAAAAGGAGGACTTTGATTTTGTATTCGTTTTGAGTAAATCTAAATCAAGTAAGTAAATCTATTCATGACTTTACTTCATACATCCATGTCCCTTCCAGATATGACTCTGTTTGACGAACATGGCAACAAGACTGCGATACCTAACAAAGAGCGTCAAATAGAGGCCTTGCAGCTTCTCTTCCTGCTGTTACCTCAGGCCAACCGCTCCCTGCTCAAACTGCTTCTGGACCTGCTCTACCACACCGCCAAGCAGCAGGACAAGAACAAGATGTCCGCCTTCAACCTGGCCCTCATGTTTGCCCCGCACATCGTCTGGCCCAGACACGTAAGATTTGTAGTTTAGAAATACATAATAAGGGTTTCAAGGACCAGGGGCTTCGCAAATCTGAAAACAATTATAGATCAAGACTGCTCAATTATTCATCCACCTTTAGAGAAATTTCCTTTAAACTGCCACATACTTAGACATTATCCCTAAATCCACTAGTGTGTAAAATTTGATAAAAACTATCTTTTAAACCCCGCTCTGGCAGGCAGAAAACATATAGCTATATTTTGTGAACAAGGAACTACAGATGCTTGATTAAGAAAAAGAAATACAGATACAACACATCTATTTCTAGCTGTTGATGGAACTGAATGTTTCAGTAAGATTATTTTTAATTTTTCTGTTTCATAGTGGAACAGGTCAAAAATGTCTGAATGCAGATTTAAATGACAAAGTGTTTTCCTGACTTCTGTTCCGTCCTGCTCCAGATGACAGCCGGTGACCTGAAAGACAATCTGAAGAAACTGAACAACAGCATGGCCTTCCTCATCAAACACTCGCAGAAACTCTTCAGGGTGATTATTGACCTCACACACAATCAAACTGTTAAAAATGAACCTGGGTTAGTTATTTAATAAGGAGACAAAGTCTGGAAAAACTTGAGAATCAGACACAGAAACAAGCTGGGCTCTAAAACATAATATGTGACTGGTGTAAAGGATGATCTGTGGATGAGTGACGTGTGTCTGTGTGTTTGTTTAGGCTCCAGTCTACCTGCGGGATTATGCCAGGGTGCATTTCACTGGGACCAAGGCTCTGCAGATCAAGGTTAGTGGAGGGAATCCACATTCAAACATTATCTTTCCAACATGAACACACCTCAAGATGCTTCAGTGTTTATTATTTTATCATCACATTGTTTCCATTTAAAGTACTATGGATTGTCCTCTCTCCACTCAGGATGATCTGGAGCTGCTGGCGGTGAGCAGCTCTCCTGCTCAGCGCAGAGCGTTGCCCCTGAAGCGGACGGCTGTCCTGGGCCCCAGCTCCCAGGAGCAGTGCCAATCACCATCTCAACAATACACAGAAGAGGCGCTAAAGGAGCTCTTCAGACACGTCCACCACAACATGCCGGACTCCGCCAAGAAGAAGAAACTCGTCCGACAGGTTCACTTGTTTTTTTACTGTCAAAACAAAACAAAAAATCCCAAAGGCAACTGTTTCTGTTTCAGGGTTTGTGTGTTAAATGTCTTAACTGTTTTTCCTATGTGCAGTTAGTTAAACAGACGACCTCAGGGACACCTACAAAAGAGAACCAGCAGGCCCCCCCAGCTCCCAGCAAGAAACATCCCCGTTCGCGCTCCTTTGGTGGCCTCATCAAGGTACTGAACAATCCTGGGACGTCACAGTGAGGAGCAGAACAAGACCCTGAACATTTCCACATTTTACTTTCTTTAACCCAAAGACCATGAAAGCAAGACGATGTTGTGTCCCTATAACTCACAGTAAAAGCTCAAATCACCAATACAAACATACCAGTTCAAAAGTGGCATCATTAAGATTCCTTATCAAATGCTCTCTGGATACTTCCAACAGGGGGTCTGACTCTGTGAACTGTGATAATGATTTTCTCCAGTTAAAGATGTTTAAAATATCTTTGAACATGTGGAATTCCTGTGATGTCTTGTTGGTAAACAGGAGGATTTTTACTGGCACATTCTGTCACTGAAACTTAACTAACCTGTTTTTCCCCACCTGATGTTGCCATAACAGCGCAGAGCTCGTGGTGAGCAGCTGACAGCAGAGAGGCGGGTTAGGCACATCTCCCCCGATACGGTCACCAGGACAGGAAGAAAACCTGGTAAAGAGAACAGCATCCTGCAGGCGGTGAGCCTTTTTCCTTTTCTACTCTTTACCACAGTTAGGCTGACAATATCTAATGTACGTCTTGTACCATGTGCCCATAGGGACTACACATTTTTGTCAGCTTCGTGTTATCTTTGTTTTCTTTCTGTGTTTGACTCACACTTACTTTTCTTCTATCTGCCATAAATTTTGCATGTGACCCAAAGTTTCAATTTCATCTTGCTATCAAAAATACTAACGTTATTGTGTTGTCTGTGTGTGTGTGTTTGTGTGGGCAGGTTAACAGCCCATTAAATGGTCCTGTGCTGGGGAAGGCGGGGCTGGTAGTAAAAAACCCAGACTTTGCTTTCAGTAAGGACAAAGCTCTGAAGGTCTCCAAGGTATGACACAGTTTTCCTCTGTAGTTCTTCTTGAAAAATCCCTGGTCAGACTGTCCAGCCAATGTGTAAAAACAGGCTTTTACCCTGCAGTATTCATAGTAAATTCTCTTTTTCCAAGCAAACCAGGGCATGAAAACAGAATCTACACTGGCTCAGAAGTAACTGTCATCCATCCATCTATCCACCTCTTTTCTCCCCTCCATTCGTATCTCAGCAGGACTCTCCCTCCGTGGCCAGGATGTGTTTCTCTCCTGCTCAGGAGATGTCAGTTTAAAACCCGACACCTCCTCGTCGTCTCGGACAGGACTCGGGCAGTATTATTGTTACTATTCCTCTTGTTTGTCATCCTGTTGTCATCGTAGTAAGTCTGTTTTAACTGTGACTAATATATAGCAGCTTAAGTCTGGCCACAACAGCCAAACCAAAGCCAGGAACTCTTCTCTTCACTGCCCGACATTCATCTAGAGTTGCTTCAATGGGATGAAATGAATCTACTTTACTACTAGTATAAAACAATTATGACCTCAGGTATAAGTGTGATATCTGATGACAGATTTATACTTCCAGAAATACTTTTAAAAAACTCCTTTCAGCTCCCTTCAATGATTTTACTTCTTTTAGCATTCAGATAACAGAATAGTGTATCAAGGTAGAAGATTCCCGATTCAGTTAAGAAATAACATGAATATGAATGAATATTGGATTATTGGTCAGCCACACTTTTAACTGAATATAAGACATTTAGTTTGTGAGAAATAAAATTCTTTGATCATATTTTTTCTTCTTTTTATACCACATAATAGTTTTATTTTGGAATCTTTCTGTTATCAGAGTTTTAGGTTTGTATCTGGCTGATTTCTAATTAAATGAGACTTTTTATTCCTTTTTTTTTTATGTGAAGGGGTGAGATGAGATTGCATGTTGATCTGATCAATAATCAGAGTCACAATAACTTTATATAATAACCTCAATATTACCATACCAGAAAGATCATGTCTTAAAATGTTCTAAACTATTCACACATAAGCATTAACGCTCCTCACAGTGCATGGCGCAGTGTTCTGAGTGAAGCCTTTATTAGCTCTACCTGAATGTGAATAATCTGATCCGTATGCAGGGTCTTTGCTTTGGTTTGGCTTCGCTGCCTCAGATTACGCCAGTTATCACTTGAAACTCGTTTTTATTAGCTACTGTATCAGAATCTATGACCACTAGCAGGCTGAGCTAACACTCTGCTGTAGAGTGTAGAATATTTATACATGTTGTACAGTGTGTGTGTGTATGTGTGTATGTGTGTATGTGTGTGTGTTTTAATTGTTTTGACTTACTGGGAACTGTGATATTGGGTTTTTGGTACGATATGTTGTAACTCTTTGCTTACTGGATGATGATGATTTCTCGGTGTGGTGCTGCAGATGCAGAATCGGTGAGCAGGTCACTTTATTTTTCAAACGTTTCATCCTGGAATGAAACCCAGGATTTAATTCATAATCGCCTTTTTAATCCTCTTACAGGCTCGTTAATTCTGAAAACAGTGACTGTTCTGAATCTGTCAAATATGAAATGTTACGTTCTCATGGGACTTGATTTTTTAAAAAACATTTTACTTAATTTTTTAAGTTTTTCTTCAGCTGCATGATGGAAGGTCCATTTGTTTTACTTATATTGAAAGTGGTTGAGAGAGTGGTTACATTGATGGTTTCACCGAAAGTGTTTTTTGTATGAATTTCCTCTGGTTGAAAGGAGCAGTGATCTGTTACAGTCAGGTCCTCTCTTCCTACGATGGTGTGTGTATGGTGTCTGAGGAGCACTGTGTTAGGAAGACGATGAGTAAAGTAAGAAAGGAACTTGGTTGACATCAGTGTCGCCTGTTTCAGCACATTATGCTAAAACACAAGCCTGTTACAGTTATTAATGTTGAATTGAATGTGTGCCATCCCAATTGTTAATTTAAACAGCTGTGCAATATTTTGCTTAATTAACATACAGTATAAAATAGCATAATTGTGAATCAGATCCATATAAATCTTACAAAGAAGAAATAAACAATGGCAGTTTTTAATACTTGATCATTTCCTATAACTGCTGGTCCGTTAAAATTCCTGATCTGATATTCTACAACTCAAACAACACGGCTGCATTGTTGGTTTATTGTTTGCAGAAACTAAAAACGTTACTTAATGTCTCTTTAAATATCTGGGATTATTTTTCATGTGCAGCTCTCCGTTCCTCCAGCTTTACTCTTCGTGGCTCGGCTTAACTGACTGTCTGCTCGCTTTGTTGAGTAGTGAGTACAGATGCACCAGTTCCAGATTTTCAGCTCTGGGGACTAAAGCGCAGTCCTCGTTGGACATGCTCTGCCCTGCTCGGCGACCCCTCAGCAGGAGAGACGCTCCGTGACATGAGCCTGAACACGAACTGGCTCTGTACTGATTTGTTTTTGTCGAATTTGAAAATGATGATGGAGAAATCTCCCTGTCCATGTGTCTCAACATGATAACATTTGGTTGGAATTTCTGCCTGTGTTAGGAATCTGTTATTGGTGCATCCTGTTTTTGAAAGTGTTGTGGATGTTGAAATGAGGGGTTTGTTGAAAGTGATTGAACATGACTGACATGCCAGGTGCGGATGGACACTAAAAGACCTTTCTTCTTAGTTTTACAGTGTATTGTAATATTGTACAATGGTCTACCTGTTGGTCAGTTTAAAATGAACCTGACTGAATTAATCCCCTTTTGAAACTGAATTGGGATTGTTTTTTTTGTTTTTTATTCTCGTCACATGACTTCTCCCTATCCTTTCAGCTCCCTGTAGACTGCAGTTGTACAAGAGAGAGCTGAATTGGATTCTGTTGTATTTATTGACTACTGCTGGAAACAAAAATGTCTTATGTGGATGGAATTTATAAACCAGATTTTAGGTACTTATTTTGTTGTTGCTTTCCCCTTTTTCCAATTATACTTGAGCCACCCAGATGAGAGCAGTTACATTCTGTATGATGTGAAATACTGTTTTATATTTGAAACACAAAAAGCCTCCCAGAGCCTGTTTGAAGTCTGTCAGTGTTGCACGTTTTTTTTGTTTTTCTCTTTACATAAATGTGAAACATGTATTTACTGATCTCTGCATGCTGTACATGGTCGCTGATGAGTTCCTCCGTACACTGTCGGAACAGCAGGGTTGGGGCCTTTTAAAGTTTTATTAAGTTAAAGGTGATCAACCTCTCATTTTAACTCATCAGTGACTGTTGTACCTTCTGGTTTAAACTGTGGTAACCTTTTGTTTTTTTTGTATTTTAGTGTAAAATAAGTTAACCCTGTACATTGGATTCCTTGGCGAACTGTCCGCTTTGGATTAAAACCTTTTTATGTTTCCTACAGAAAATCTGTTGTTGTGTTTGAACTCATTTTTCAGTTTTCCTCTGTTGTTCCACTGCAGTAGGTTGTTAATATGAGGAATTAACTGCCCATGTGCAACCATATACTAGATGCACCTGAGACGAGGCTTAATATCAATGCAGTGCTTCTGCTTGCCCACTAGAGGGTGTTATCGGATAAACATGGAGGTGTAACTCTGAGGAAAAATATCACAAAAGTCTGTTAGTTTGTCGACTGTATACTAGTATACTATACTATACTATACTCTATATAATAGTTTGTTGTGTTATACAAGCCCTCAAGAGCCATTATCAGTTTTATATCAGTGAAACTGTAGCTGGGCTTTTAAACATTGTATTTCTTTATCAGTTGACTGAGTAAGATAAGATGTACCTTTATTGTTCCCCCGTAGGAGAAATTCAAATTAGACACAGCAGCATTGGGGAATGTAGTGCAAAAGAGACCAGAAGTTGAAGTACAATAAGATATCACAAAATAAGTATATAGTAGTATATACACTATAATAATATGCAAGTAAAAATGGTGTGCAAATATTTGAGTAGCTTGGACTAAAAAACTAAACTGTACATGTGCAATTTAAATATAAATAATTCAAAAGTGCAAAAAATATATGAATATATATATATATTTCATTTAAATCTTTAAGATTAACCCTTATTTTGGAATACAACAGCCATATTCATGTGTAGATTATACTATGCTATTGTTCTTTTATGATGGAGTTTTAATCGACATTTACTTTTGACAGTAATGGTAATATATTACATTTTTGGTGCCCATTGAGAAGCTTCCTCTCCCCCCTGCAAGAAGGTCAGAGGTCAGGCTTAACGGGTGAAGTGTCCCAGGAGCTGGTAGGGATTCAGCAGTGCAGGTACAGGCATTCTTCTGGTTTAGCCTTCAGCCTTTAATTCCCTTTAAGTCCTCTTTTATTTTGGAGCAAAATAAAACTTCTTTCTGTTGCTATCATTAGAGGTCCTGAACCTCCAAACCTACTTCTGCTTCAAAAATGCAGAACAAGGTTTTAGTTAATGAACTATACCGAACTATAACAACTTTGAAATGAAATCTGATTTGACAGGTTCCTTGATTAGGCCTGGGCATTAGGTGTCCCCCTGCAGTGAAAGCTATTTTAAAGGGCCAGTATGTAGTGTCTACAGTCAGTGTTTGGTTTGTCCGTTCTGGGTGGAAACACGGTTCAACATGGCAGACTGCATGAAAGGCAACCAGCGGTGCCTGGGGATAACAACAACTCATTCTATGAGAACAAAAGCACAACAATTCTTATTTACAGGTGATTGTACACTAATGAAAACATAGATATGGATATTATATTTAATTTCAGCCAATAGATCCTCCTCAATGTTACACACTGGACCTTTTAATGCTTTCATTAGTCAGTTACTTCATAAAACATACATATTTCTGATTGAAGCTGATATTATAAAAGAGTAACTGCACTTCAGACTTATTTCTTCCCTCATAGTATAATGCAGAAAATAAACTGTATATTTTGGGAAAACTAAAATGTTGATGTGAGTATACACTAAAAGAACATTTGGCACACTGAGCTAAACATTTATGAGCTAGATAGGGACATTAAACAACCAGTGTGAAGGATTCAGTGGCATCTAGCAGGGATGTTGCAGATTGCTGTTCTTGTTAAGATCAATGAATTTCTATTTCAGAATCAGAAATACTTTATTGATCGGGGGGGTGGGGCTGGATGTGTTTGTGACGGTTGCTCAAGGTGCTCACACAATGTTAAAGAATAGAAATAATAATTATATTACAATATCAGCAGCAGTCTAAAAAACATCTACTCTCAGGTGAGACGATGAAAAGCAGCAAATTGTCACAATGGAGAATCTTAACCTAGGTAATGGATGGTGTTTTGGATATCAAATGGATCAATTGACTGATCCTTGGAGCTGTTTGTTAAAATTAATATTAATGACTAAATTAAGATGTCATGCTAGTACATTAGAATACCATCCCTCTCACTTGCACTAAATACAGTTGGAGGTGTGAATATTGCTTTGTATCGTAATAGTCACATCAGGAGGGAGGGCAGTTTTCATCCATTTAATCTGGTGTTTTAATTGATCAGATTAACCACATTGTATGTATTTATCGGCACTGCTAATGCTGTCGAGAACAAGTCTTCTCCTGTCAGTGGGATTAGAAGTTTCTGTGCCAAATAATTCTTTCTAGAGGTTTTGTGAATTGATGCGTTTGAGACAAAAGCATCTGCTCCGTCCTTCCAGAAATCAATTCAGACGCGTCTGGAGTAAAAGCCCCCCCACCTCCCCACCCACCCCTGCCTCAGAAAGCTATTATGGCCCCAGAAATAAGGGGGTCCTCCCCCCCGGAGATGTCAACATCTCGTCCCTCCCTTTGTTGCAGATTATCGCTGAATGAGTCATTCAATTCAGCCGCAGACGGGCTCTGCCTGTGGCCAATTTGTTTTCCATCACTTCTGAAGAGCGGCTGGTTAAATTAACCCGTCATACTGAGTCTGCAGGGAGAAGACAAAGTGAGGCCACGGGCAATAATCACTCATGTATTGTGGTAAATAAAAAGATGAGTAAACTATGCCCTCTGGTTGCTCATCGTCATACTGCAAACAAACGCCAAATCCAATCTGTTATTCAGAGAAAATCGAATTATACCACACCTAACCTCATCATATATTGTACAAGTCACTGAGGATGTAGTGATGGATATGACGGTGGCCACAAACAAAACAAAAAGATCAAAGAAACAAAGAGTCCATCGTTCATTTTAGCCTTTTTCCTTCTTGAAAACCTTGAACACCCTGATGTATCAGAGAGCTGGAAGGTTCGTAGATTTAGTCCATTTATAGCAATAAGCAAAACATTCTAAAATTTGTCGGGTTCAATTTCTCAAATCGGATTATTTGCTGCTTTTCTCCGTTTTATATCGATTTGAATTGAATATCTTTGGATTATTGGTTAATTTTAAGTTATCTCTTTGATCTCTGGCGATATGGGATAGTCGGTTTTCATTATTTTCTGACAATTTATTATAGTGAAGCGTTTTGGTGGCAGATTTAGGTTTTGGTGGCTTTACCCTCCACCCTCCTGATTCAGATTTTTTCTTCTTTCCTTTCCTTGGTAATATGGCAATCACAAAAGCTGAAACCAGCGTTTCTCTGGAGATTAAAAAAAAAAAACTCAGCCAGGCTCCATTTGAATTTCAGAGCCTTGCCAGTGAATTCATAAAAGACTTCTGAGTAAGCTCTGTGGCAGCTTATGGCATTCCAGTTATGCCAGTCTCACAAGAAACCCCCCACCCCACCCCACCCCAACCAACCCAAGTTCCTGCAGCCCGGTGTGCTGAGATGTGGCAAAATGATCACATCTAACAAACAGCAGAACTCCCTCCCCTGCTTCTGTCTTTTCTCATTCACTGATGTTTTTCTCCACAAATTGTTTCTCCTTTTCTGCCCTCACATTCTCACTGGAGCTTCCCTGTCGGATGCTTCAGTGTGATCACGATTTCCTCTCCCTTCCTCTCTCTCTCTCTCTCTTCTCATCATGTCCATGCAGCCTTAGGCTCTTTTCTTCCCCCTAGGGAGGAGAGTGCATGTGGGCGAGAGAGATAGACAGATAAAGGGAGAGGGAACGAGAGAGAGAAAAAGGCTGCCGTCACTGGAGGTGGCGGCTCCCGCTACTGCTGTCACTGAATAGATGTGAGTTCACTCTGGGTGCTGCTGTGTGTGTGTGTGTGTGTGTGTGTACATGTATGTGTGTGACTGGGGGGGTGGCGTGGGAGGAGTCTCTGTGCTGTTATTTGTAAAGGCTTTTGATAGATGATTGCTCTGTGTGTGTGTGTGTGTGAGATAGAGGGAGTGAGGGAGTCCCCCCCTTTCTTTTTTTTCTAGTGGCTCACTGTTCAGTGCACAATGACTCAATGAAAAGTGGAGGGGAGAGGCAAACACACTGTACGGCTGCACGGGAGAGAGAGAGAGAGAGAGCGAGAGAGTGTGCAGAGAACACACAGGAGAGTAGAAGAAGAGAAGCTAATTGGAGGGAGCTCTAAAGCCGGGGACAAGAAGAAGAAGAAGAAGAGGATATACTTGTCTTATTTGCCCTTCTCTCTTTCTCACTCTGAAAGGCCACTTTGGGATCAAGTGGCAGCTGTTCAGTCTGAGCTGAACTTCACCTGGCTGTGCTGCTGTCTGTCTCAGCCTCCTCAAGCATTTTATTCATTCTCGTCCACTTTTGGAAGAGGTTGTAGTGGTGTTGTTGGTGGTGGTCAGTCCTGCCCGGGAGAAGGAAGGTAAAGGAAGGGATAGGATCTGTCGGCTGGTTTCTGCAGTGTGGTGGAGTGCTGCAGGAGAGCAGGATGCCTGCTGGGAGAAGCGGGGATGGAGCTGGGTCAGGAGGCTGCGGGACGACGGCGGCCCCAGGCCGGGCTTTTCGGTCTGGGCTGCGGAAGATGCTGGCGTGGGCCATCCTGGTGCTGGTGGCAGGATGGGGAGGTGTGGAGGCATGCCCCACTCCCTGCAACTGCCTGGGGAACACGGTGGACTGCCATGGCCTGGGGATCCACTCCGTACCCAAAAACATTCCCAGGGGCACTGAGAGGCTGTGAGTAGTCATACACATGTGTATTCATATTTTTCTATACTTCTAAGGGCCAAATAATCACAGATGGATAGATGAGGGGAATCCTTGAAAGTGACGGCATGTTGCTGCTCCTCACTGCAAGGAGCAATCTGGACCAGGGTTTAGGTTTATAGGGTAGGGTATGAAGGTCCTCACAAGTATAGTCAAACATATACGCATTTATTTGTGTCACCCACAAGTTTTACACACATCCTGCCTATACAGTTGGAAGAAGAGAAAGGTGTGGGATGTGTGTGTGTGTGTGTGTGTGTGTGTCATTCCCGGTTTGTTGCAGTGTCCCTTCTCTCGTGCTCCTTCCAGCTCCCGTTACCAGTCGTCTGTTTAACTTCATATTGCACACACAAGCATGCACGTACACACACACACACACACACACACACGTATATACACACACACACACACACGCACGCACACACATTTTGACTCTCCACTTGACTCCCAGGATTCAGAATGCTGGTCTGCGGCATCGTTGCTCTTTCCTGCAATTGTTCCCCGTTCAAAGAGACACTTCTGTCATTTTCTCTGAATCTCCATCTTTTCATCATTTCACACATCTCATACACTGAACAAACTCTTCTTCTCTCCCCCTGCTCTTTTCCTATTCCATTCTCTGTATCATGTTTTCCGATCATACTGTGTAACTGCCCAAGGTTTAGAAAAGTCTAAGACAATCTTGTTTCATTGGTGCGTGCCGTTCCTCATAAGTTGCTACTCCTCTTGTAATACAAGTACATTTTTAAAGTAAAATGGAGAAAAAATTTAAAAAGTGTGCTTCTGATGTACCTGACTACACAATTTATTGTGCGTTTGTGTTACATTTATCTGTACATCCAATTGAGACCATCAGATCACCAAAGAGGGAACCAAGCTATCACTGACAAAATTCTTTATACTGTGGTTCTACATTCAAAAAGTTGATGGCATCATTTTAAAGTTCAAATATTAAGCTAGCTGACAACTATACACTGTATTCTCAGACACTGCAGACCTACATTTTCATGCCTCTTTGAGGAATGACACATGTCACTGTAATTAAGTCAGATTCTCTAACTTTGAAAGACCGTCATGGCTGCCCTACTGATCTAATTTTGATGAGACTTCCAGGAATCATACATCTTGTCACTGACTGGCACACTGAAACTAGCACTTGGATCATATTAGCACATGTACCAGCTGTTATTTCCAACCTACTTTGTCTATTTCTGGTTCACTTGGTGGTTTCCTGTATTTCCCAGAGTGCCCAGAGAAGTGGTGTGAACAAACCAAATTTTCCAGTTAAAAAAGGTGATGGTCATACCTCTCCTCTCAAAAAGCTTTTAATAATGTTGCTGCACTGCCTTCTGGTCCACTGATAATACCATTGGTGGCTTAATTGGTCTCTCTGCCTGTTCTGCACAAACACTCTCCTTTCGTGAATGTTGGTGCAAGATTGGCATTTCAAGAAATGATCCCACTGCTATAAAGCTGACTGAAATATCAGGTTTTTGGGATGTCATTGTTTAACCGTTAATCGGTAAACTATGGTGAATATCTTTGACTGGTTACGCATGTTGGTCTATAGGTTGATTTGTAAACACACTCGCTAGCTAGACGATGATCAGTGTGGGACCATTTCCCTCCAGAAAAGCAACAAACTCAAATGTAAATGTAATGCTACTCTTTAGTTTGGTAGTATCTCTAGCACTACGCTGTACCGCATTAAGAACAAGCACCTGGCTGCCAGGTCCAAGGATGGCTCGCAGCCAAAGATCACATAGCTGCCAGCCGGGCCAGTCTGATACGCTTCCTGTCGTATTGGTAGAGGGAGCGGGATTCAAAGAGCTAACGTTGGATCGGAACCTATGTTATTCCATCAAAAGCTACTGTCTGTAATTTAAACACATTGGAAAACATTTTGAGGAGAGGAAGGATGAGCTAAAAGTCAAGCTAGCACTGGCCTCTCATTACAGGACAGTGACAGTTCTCACTAATGCCAGCTTCATTACAACTAACTTAGTGTCACTTGGTCAATGCTGACTGGGAGATACGGTCCAGTGTGGTCCTCACTCAGACCCTTTTTGTCCGGCACACATCGGACAACCTCGCCCAGGTTCGAACCTCAATGGCGCCTCTTGTACTATTTGTCATTTTGTTTGTTTTCTTAAAAATGAACCGCTCATTCAAAAGCAAAATTAATCAGAACTGACATCCCTAATAAGGTGGTGACATCAGGTCAGCTATGTACCCTTTTTGCAAGTTATTCACAAAATAATGAAGATGCAAGGTACGTGACAGGTTTACCTTTAGAAACTCTGATCTTCTAACCTAAAAAAAATACCTGAAGAACATTACAGTGTAGACTGTGTATATATAAATAAGGAAACACTGTTTCTTTTTCTGTCCCTCTCTTAAGTATATGTACTGTATGTACTGTATGGGGCTCTCAGTGCAGAGTGAACATGTATGTGTTTGTACATGGTAAGTGTGTGTGTTTATTTCAGGTTCTAGAGTGCCTGCGTGTGAATAATTGATGATTGTCAGGGGTGCCAGCAGAGATACATTATCCTTCCTCCTCTCTGGTTTACTGTAGCGTGGAGGATGTTTTCCCCTCTGAAGCTGATAGCTTTATGATCAGGGATGAGGGCTTGGGCCCCCTGGTCAAAGAGAAATGGCCTGGAAAAAGCTCTGAGCCTGCAGACCCACTTGCCCGTTTGTCATTTTCCATCGCTGAGATGGTTCCTCTGCTAAAGGTTTTCTTGCTGTACTGAGTAATAGTAACTGACAGACGAGGAACTGAAAAACACTTGTTTGAGCATCTATTGTGTCACCTGCAGACATTCAGTCGAAAGGTGTCATTTGTGTTATGAAAGTTAAAACTAATTCATAACATTTGACACTTTACTGGCCCGATCCAACAGGATGAGATCAGACCAGCAACGGACAAAAATGAGCGTCGACAGCAGTTTGTCATTTTATCCCAAAAACAACTGATTCTGCCATCAGTCGAGGCCCAAATGGAAATACTTGAATGCAGGAATTTTACAGTTTGACGACTGTAACTGTTCAGACGACACTGTTGGTGACATTCATGATCCTGGAAGTCGGTCACCCTCCTGCTGGTTCACCTTTGAGCATCACACAGGTCGTTAAAAACCACAAGGAAGGATTGGGCTTGGGTTCATCGTATGGTCTTACATGTCTCTGAGGAAATCATGGCAGTAATGCTGGTCGCCTTGATCAAATAAACTGTCAGTTGACTAAAGTGAAGGACAAACTGTACATGTTGTATATTGGTCCTTTTTTTTTTTTTAACAAAACACAATAAATAACGAAAAAAATACCTCCATGCATTCTTTAAAAGTTACATTCGTTCCCAAATTAGTGAAAAAGAAAAAGTCTGGATTGCAATTTTCATGAATTGGAATAAAGTCTAGCCACTGCAACAAAAAATCCTCTGGGTTTGAACATGTTAGCGGACAGCTCCATTGCCAAAATGTGCCCTACATTGGTTTTACATTTCAATTTCTGCACATTGTAAAAACAAATGTGACAGTTTTGGATGGTACCTGATACCTGTACTTGACAAACAGAAATGAAATTGATATTGATCTGGATGGATGCCGGTTTCTTTAAGATTTCAGTGTACTCTGCAAATTGAAGGACATTCAAGTCAAGTAAATTTTATTGATATTGCCCAATGTCACAAATCACAGTTTGCTGCAGTGATTGTTAGCTGATCGCCGAGTGAAACAGTCGCGACGTCATCTTCAACACGTCACAAACAGAAAGATGCAGGATGTCTGGTGTCGACGATTCTCTCAGACCAGTTGCTGGTCTGCGATGTTTTAACTCCACCATTTAGTACTGGTGAGGTAGTATCAAATAAAGTATTAGCTGCTGTTTTTTTCCAATGGAAAACTAAAAAAAGAATGGTTCCAAGCGAGTCTAGCCAAGCTGTACCATGCAGTGGAAATGAGGAAATATATTCAGGCATGTTTGGTTTTAGTCATAGTCATGAAAATTGAAAAATCACTTTTAAAAAACTGAACAGCAGCATGTCTGTCCAGAATCAATGTCTCGTCTTCTAAATAATCTATGGCAGTTTTTCAATGGACTTCTTTGGCAGAAAATAGAAAAAAACTCACAGTGAGATCTGTGAACTCTCCAGAGTAACAGAGACATTGCCTCTGGAAAGACGGTTTGCTGTTCTTTCAATGCTTTGACAACCACAGTTCTATTTAACCCCATTGTATTGGGATGACCACAGGAATTTCAGAGTAATCTCAAAACCTCCATATGTATTTTTGTAATTTGTGTGAACTGACCCTTAAAAAAACAACACCTTCACAAGAGAATGACCATTTGCTCCGTGCATGTAAACACAGCCGGTGTGTCCTCTTGACCTCTGAAACCTTTCCTCCTCCCAGAGCTCTAGCAGTCGACCATCCTGCAGACTCAGACAGGCCATGCCCTGCAGTGGAGAGGAGTAACTCATTAAACAGCTATTTGTTAAAGGGCTTGTCGCCCAATTAGCATGTAAAGTGATCTGAGTGTGTGTGTCAGCTGGACAGCGAGCCACTGGGGGAGAGAGAGTTCATGGTGTGTGTGTGTGTGTGTACAGTATTCCCTGGGAGACAGGCGGCAATAAGAGGGTCATTTATCAAGGTGACTGCTCCAGCCAAACTAAACACCCCCTCCTCGTTGGATTGTCATGGCAACGCTGAAAAATGGATGCCCCTCTGGGCCCTGATGAGCATAGTTATTTGAGCTGAGAAAAGAGGAAAGTATGTGAGAAAGACAGAGAGAGAGAATGTCTGTGAATACACAGTAGTCAGTTTTTTACTTTTTGTGGAGATCTTTTGAGAAGAGAAGATCAGTTTAAGCTGGTTTTTCACTCAGATGTTCCCACTCAACAAAAAAGTCGTAATATTTCCTGCTCCAGTAACCCAAGTTTAAAGTACTGTGGACGCTCTTTCAACAAA